GTTTTGTCTGTTTTGCCCCTAAATGGATCTTAAAGCAAATAAACTCTGAACTCTCACTGGAAGCAAAGTAAACTGAGGCTGTTGTACTTTGGACCTATCATGAGATAACATGAGTCCCTGGAAAATAAGATAAAGCTTGGAAAAGTGGAAGTTAATAAGAAAAAGGAAGACCTCATTATAGGTGGATTAATTCATCAAGGAAGCCACATCCCTGCATTTGCAAGACATGAGCAGAACAGTTGCTCACTGATATTCTTGGAAATATCTGATTCATAGGGTCACCATAGGTCAAAATCAACTTGATGACAAATAACAACAGCAAAATATTTAATTCATAGAGCAACTGGATTTTTCATGTCTCCATACAAATTTAACCAATCAATACAAGAAGCTCTCCCACAGCCAAAATGCAACATAAACAAGAAAGGGAGCAAATAAGGCAGGTGCCAAGTGTCACAAGAAAATGTGAAGAAATTTGATGGCAATAACAGAATGGCCTTGACTTGCAACCTGAAAGCATTGTGGGGGAGAAAAAGGAGGCAAAAGGACTTCTATCCCAGGATGTATATATTTATTGGAAACTGTAGCTTTTAAAACAAATAATGCATTAAGTCAAGCCTGAGATGTGATACACTACAGTGAGAACCTTAAAATGCATTCATTTATTACATTTATATAGAGCCACACTATGTATTTCTTTTTTGTTTATTGCTTCATGCTGAAAATATTCCCTCTCTCAGCCACATGCAGGAAAACATACTGGTGCTGCTATTTAAATAGGCTAATAAAAACAACATTCAGCCATTTGGAACTGAAATATTCATGAGCTGCTCAGGGAACAATGAAACTCAACTGCCTTAGCTGTCCTAGAGGAACAAAAGTCAGGGGAACATAATGGTAAATACAAACCATTCCACTGCATCTTAAATTTTTCCAGTTTGCTTTCCTTTCTTCTTACACTTACTTCAGTTGAGAGTGCATTTCCCCTTAAACTCAGGCAAGGGAATCAGAATGTTTGCAAGGGACTCAATATGGCCTCCAGCAAAGGTTGCTCAGTTGTTGTTGTTTTCTCTGACCAGAGCTTATGTGCCTTTAATAGCTGCAGGGCAAAGAATTGAATTCTTGATCCCACCCAGCCCCTGTCTATACCTGCTGTCATGGAGAGAGTTTAACCAGTGAATTCTATTATAGTCATAGGAACCTTTTTAGAAACAATGGCAACACTACCACCAACATCCAGTTATTTGTATGGATTCTATGTGACTTTAAATATCTTGCCTTTTCTTTTAATGTCTCAATCCCATATTTTTGCAGATGATTCTAGGAAAAATCTTAACTGAATATTAACTTGCCCATCCTCTTAAAGTTAATAATGGTGTATCTTCTCCCTTGCACTTTTCTATGAACACATGCAAACCAAAGTATTTGAAAAGCATTAAGAAAATAGATGCAGAGTTATTTTTGTGTCTATAACACATGTAATGCATAGAAAGACATTATTTAGGTTGTCACTTAAATAGTGACTGGCTAATTAATTCATTGATTGATGGACTGCATTTATTAAAAAAAAAA